CTGTCTTTGAAGCAAAAACAAACCCAGGAAGCAAAACGTGATGATGGGTCATAAAATCTGCCTCACCTTGGTAGCCCTTTTCCACTTTGATCCATGGACACCTACATCTGGGGGAAAAGGTAAGGGGGTTTTAAAATATGAATGTCATGGGAAGGAAGGTTTGTCTTCTGAGTCTGTTGAGAAGGGATCGTGAGAGAGGAGGGTTGACTGCAAGAGGTACCCAGAGAGGTCATGTCGCTTTTGTCTCGGTTTCCTCATCTGTCGGGTGAAAGACTAGGAGCAGAGCCATGTCCCTAGGTGATGCCTGCACTCCCTTCCACTTCTGTCTTTCTGTTAGCTCCAGCCACGTGGGATGGAGTTGGCCGCCAGCATCCTGGTGCTGGGGTAAGCACGAACCTCCCTACTCCTCAGTTTCTGAGGTATTAAAATAGCACTAATCGTTGTATTTGCCTCCCTGGGTGGTTGCGAGGGTTAAGTAGAATCATATACTGAAGCACTGAATACAGAGCTAGCCAGGATTCAAACCCAGGCACCAAAATATTAGCTAATAATCATTATTACGGACATGAGAGTAAAATTTACACCATGTGTTTGTTTTCTAATTTCCCAGAGAAGAAAGGCCTGATAGGGTGGGTGGCTGAAGGAGGCGGAAGGTGGCAGGGCTGGGTAACGGTACGTGGGTGACATGGATTTCAAAATGGAAGCATCGGGGTCCCCCAAATCTGCCCCAGCATGACCTCCCCCTCTGAATGAACCAGCAGAGTTCTTGCTCATTAGCACGGCTTTGCAAACGGTGCCGGCTCCTGGGCATCCATATTATCACAGAGCCCGTGACTCTCCCACCATCGTCTCGGCGTCTGAATCACCACACCGCAGGCGTGGAGCTGGACTGCAGCCTGTCCTCAGCCAGTCTCGTCACCGCTCTCTGCTTCCCCTCAGCACGGAGCTGTCAGCACCTCTGGCTGTTAGATTTTGAAGCCCAAAAAACAGTACTAAGAAGCTACCACTTCCTGAGGACCTACTATATGCCAAGCTCGATCAATCCTCATGTCATCCCCAAGAGGCAAGTACTATCATTATCCTCACTTTAGAGATGAAAAGATGGCCGCAGGGAACTTAAATTATTTGCCCAAAGTCATATTGTGAGTAGCAAGCACTTAGTCACTAGACTGCCTCCAAAAAAAAAAAGTGCACTTTTATTAACAGCATCTATTTTACCTTTTCTTCTTTATGTTCACCCTATTCCTGCTTTCTACCCAATAATGCTGGTACACGTGACATACATTTCACCGATTCCGTGTCTGCCACCCTGCCCCGCAACTGGAGGTTAAACACAATTCAAAAGCGGAACTGATGCAAAGCCAGCAGTCTGTGGAGCTGGTTCATCCCCTACCACATGCCTGGACCACTTTCCACCTAGGGCCCTAAATTCTTCTATTGACCTAACAGCCCCATGCAATCAATGCCCCACCAGAAGAAGAGTCCTCCAGATCCTCCCCACTCCCAGCCTGAAAATATCCCCATATATTAAGGTCTAGCAGCCACCAACAGCACCCAGATCCCTCTGGGATAAGCAGTGATGCATGAGTTTGCCTGTGTAGACCCGAGAGCATCATAATTCAAGAAATGCAGAGAGCGAGCTGTGCAAGATTCCTCAGATAATTGAAACTGACCCATAACTCACACCAGCTACCATGGGAAATTCTATCACTTCACACGCTTTGCTTCCATAGCTAGAAATCAAATGTCAGATTAGGATCAGATGTCTCATTTGGAACCTCAGACATGCAATGTCATCTTTAATGACTCCTGGCAAAAGATGCTCATTCTACATCTCAGCTCATCTGAATTAAAACATGAAACCTAAAAATTAAGCAGAAAATTCTCAATTTCTCAGGTCCATAAGACCACAGAAAAGTCAAGCAAGTGGGAATACGTGTACTCCTTAGGGTCTTGTTATGCCTGCAAATATTTAAGGAGAGATTATATTAAAGAGCTAGGAGAGAAAATAAACAAATCCGTCAGGTCCTAAGTTTCAGGTTTGAGCCATCTGGGTGAACAGCAATTTTTCATGGTCAATTTGAGCTATCATGTCGAAGAATATTATCTCTCTGGTAATGGCCAATCTCATCTGTTCTACGATGTCGAGCTCAGATGCCTCTGATACAGCAGGCTGCTGGCTTCAAGTCCTCTCTCAGTGCTAAGTGGGCTGAAAGATGCTGCAATCCGTCAGCACAGTGCGCAGGTACGTAGGCGCCTTTCAAATGGTAGGCCAAAAATTCACGTCTCATCATTAATTCTAAAACTCATCCAGTATAGATTTTCTAGAAGTTTGGGTAACCATCAAACGATCTCTAGATACTGTCTTTATATCTCTTCCCTCCACTTCCCATCCACCCTGCCCTTTGTGCCACCATGTGAATGGCTGTCACGGCTGGCAGAGTGACGTGCGTCACCAGCTCTCATATCTATTCGTGACTAAATTCCTCTGAGACCTAAATCCAGGAAGAGGGAGCCAGTCCCTGTCTGCAGCAGCACCTCAACCGATGGTCCAGAAAAACTCAAAGTTAACAGTTAGTAGAAATTGCAAATTCAAAACTTTTTCCCCCTTAACCAGCATTCTTAAAGAGGAAAGTTAGAGCGTGGGGATGAGAACCATGTCAGAGTTATGCTACCAGATACTGAACAAGAAATGTGGTAAGCCTCCTCTTCCTCAGGATGAAGGAGCATCTGAAAATAGTGCAAAATACTAAGCTGTAATTTTTGTTCTTTTTTCGATTAAAAACCACTTCTGAATCATGTTTTGTGTACTGTAGCTCGGAGAATTAATCTCCATTCCTAAATTCAGCTACTAATTACAGAATGGTCATTGTGTACAAAGACTCCAGGGTTTCTAAGTATAACTGGCAAACTGGAAACCCCTTTAAGAAACTTATAGGGAATGCAGATGTGGAGGGAAGATCTCCACCCAAGGCATGTTGAAGCAGCTGGGATAGGAGCCTGGGTCACTCCAATAATAATAGTATCATTATTAATATCTCATCACACGCCCTCAGAAACACCTCTTTTTAGAACCACATCACCCTAAGAGGCCACCCCAGGGCTTCCTCCTCAGAGTAACTTTTCATGATTACTCTCTTCCCTACATTTGTCTTAAAACTTAAACTGAGAGGGAGGAGAAACTGTTTTCAGTAGCCTGGGGTTTAAATGATTTGAGTCTAATTCTAATCAAGAAAACAACAAAGGTCTTCACAGACACGTCTCTCCACCTCTGGTTTATATAGAAACTGAGGGTCTTTCTTGGACAAAGAATAAATTAATCAAATCAAATAAATAAATGTCAATAAGAAACCACTCTGAGTGTGTGATGTAGTCAACTGTCTAAACTGTCTGTTGTGACAAGCGATGGATTAGTATTTGTGGACGAGCAACCAGGAGCCGGCGTGCCTGTCCGGAAGTCATGGTTTTTTATTATGCCAGCCAACGCTGGAGAAGCCTTTTAGGAGAACGTACTTCCCAAGAAATGCATTAGTACAAGCATTCACACTGAGTACGCATGCTGGGCTCACACCAGACACTTGTGACACGTCCCCAACCCACTGGCTTAGTAAATTCCTTTATGAGTAGGTCTAAAGTTAACAGAGCCTTCCAACCAGGCTTACCCTTTGAATAAAAAAACAAAAACACTCCTTGGCCTTCTTGTTAGAGAGAGCCCCTTTTATCAACCTCCCCCAATCTTGCCATTAAAACAGGACAACCTGTGGTATTTAATGAAGTAATCAAGGACAGATCAAAGCAATTACTTGACATTTCTTGCAGTAACCATACAAAATTTCTAACCCCAAGAAGCAAACTGGACCAAAGTGTGTTTAAAGGGGCTCAGATAAACTCAGCATCTGTAATGAGTTAGCGTGTTACACCAGGATGTTGAATGCTACCCGCCTGTGTGAATAGCAGCGTTGGATAAGGCAGTAGGTATTCACTGAGCTCCTCCCCTACCTGTGTCTTGAGGTTTCTGCCTACAGAGATGAAATAAAAGAATGAGCCACATGAACGAACCAGTATGGCAACTCTGAACAGGGCGAGAACTGGCGAGAGGCGCACAGGGTACCTAGAGAGCAAAGTTTAGGCAGGTGCCAACTCCCATGGCTGTGACGGGGCCAACCCTGAGGTTCTCACGTGAGGTTTGCAATTGCAACAGCAATTCTGTCACACGTTACACCCTGGAAGGGATAAGAAAAACACAGCAGCAAGCAAGTGCATCTGGAAAACATCAATCAGAAACGGCAAGGGTCTCAGGGAACAAAGATTCCAGACTAACCACAAGTTTACGGGGAAAAATATCAAGAATAGTAAAAAAATTTCAGAAAAAAACATCTGTCTGTCCATGTCCACTGAGTATAGGAATAATGTGAGGTTTAAAGCTAACACTGGTAAACATCTACTATGTACCAGCTGCTCTAAATGCATCAGGTGATTTAATCTTCAAAACAACTTTTGGAGATGGGTATTATCATTACTATCATTACTATCGTTTAAAAGGTAAGAAAACTGAAACGTAGAAAGATTTAGTAAATTGACCCAGATCCGAGAACTAGTAAACAGTAACACTGGTCTGTGCTATTATCCTGAATCTTATTTTTCTTAACGGTCCCACTTATACAGGTGTCATTTGCAAGAAAAAGAGAAATCAATAAAATAATCGATATATAGTAGCATGTCCCAAGTTGGCAAGAAACCACTTCAAACGTAACTCTTTGTGTATTGATACACAGACTTAGAGAGAAACTTTCTTATCTCACCTATGTAGCCCTATAATAATTGAGGGAGGTCCAGAAAGCATGGATTGTCAGTTTGTTATTGTCAGATGAAGAAATCGAAGTGCCAAATGTGGCTTGAGTGAGGGGCAGGGAGAGGACAGTGGCCTGAACTCTTCAAAGTGGGCCCAGCCGTGGCTCCTCCCACCGGACACCCCTGGAGGATGTTAACAAACCACTGACCTCCACATCCCAGTGAAACTGAACATGGTGCTCACGCAGCGAGGGAGGGGCGGCGGCTTGAGTCCGTCCAGGCGCATGAGCAGGGCTGGGACGCCAAAGAGCACCAGGTACTTGACATAGAAAAACAGCACCTGCGCCAACGCCAGTCCTCCTGAAAGGCAAAAGGGCCACACACACAGATGAGAGGCGGAGCAGTCTCCTGGGAGAGACCAACCCCCCAGGAGCTATGCCACCTGCCTGCTTCTCTGCCCACCTCTTCTTCCCTTCAACTCCAACATTTTAACACATTAACTGCCACGTGAGTTGTATTTAACTCACACTAGTTTTGAGCCCAGGGCCTTGTGAAGCATATGTAACTCACATGTCTCTTCACCATGGGAACCACATGAACTATTTTTCAAGTTGCATATAATTCACACACAGAAAATAAAAAATAACAATGTTTTCATTAAATGAGAAAGGATCGTTCTGTTTTCAAAATTTTTATCCTGTTTTCATAATAAAACACCGTGGCCCCAAGGAAAAATTTTTTTTCTAGTGTGGCAGTCAAGGTGTTAAAGTATTCCATGTTGGTTTCATTCAATGAAATTTTTGGATTAACAAATACTGAAATCTCATTATTATGACAGGCAACTTAGCAGCCTTCACTGCCCTCTTAGTGGTCATGCTTTTACAGAGACTAGGAAAGGGAATGCCCAAAAAACATACTGCATTAAAAAAAACTCTTAGAAAAGGAAACTCCTTCCCAAATCCTCTCACAACCTACATGAGGTCACACCCATTAGGCTAGCTAGAATCAAAACGTCAGAACAAGTGTTTGGTGAAGATGTGGAGAAATTGGAACCATCGTACACAGCTGCTGAGATTGTAAAGTGGAGAACAGTTTGGAAAATTTGGTGAAGATGTGGAGAAATTGGAACCATCACACACAGCTGCTGAGATTGTAAAGTGGAGAACAGTCTGGAAAACAGTCCGGTAGTTCCTCAAATGATTCAACAGCGTTACCATGTGACTCAGCAATTCCACTCCCAGGTATGCAACCAAGAGAAATGAAAACGTGGTCACACCAAAACTTGTCCCCTAATGTTCATAGCAGCATTATGCACAATAGCTAACAGGTAGAAACAACCTAAATGTCCACCAACAGGTGACTGGATAAACAAATTGTAGTATATACAGACAATGGAATATTCTTCAAACATGAAAATGATTGAAGTACTGACACGTGCTACAACATGGGTGAACCTTGCAAACACTAGGCTGAGCGAAACCAGCCTGTCACAAAAGACCACAGATTATATGATTCTATTCATGTGAAAGCCCCAAGTAGGGAACCTACAGAAAATAGATCAGTGGGGGAGGGAGAGCTTGGAGAGGGAGAGCAATTAAAAGGTATGCTTTCTTTTCAAGATGATGAAAATATTCTAAATTTGGTGGTGGTAATAGGTGAATCATATGTGAATATACTAAAAGCCTCTGAACTGTACACTTTAAATGAACGAACTGTACGGTATGTGAACTACATCCCAAGAAATCTATTTTTTAAAAAATGCCTCCAAGAGGGCACCACGCTGCAGCAGCTGACAGCCCCTTGGCCCAAGTCACGTCTTGCCACAGTGGGAGGAACTCAGGACGTGGGTGTTGGCTGTGATGCTGGGACTAAGACAAGCGCTATGGCCCCTACAGGTCTCCACCTGTCCCCTCTGGGAGGAGCCCACTTCCCCAGCTCAGACTCAAGATGCTCTATGGACTCCCACCTTCCTCAGGCTTCTTCTGGCACAGGGTCGCCACTGACAGCCTCATGCTTCATAGCGTGTGGCCACTTCCACCTCTTTGACCCGGGAGGTGGGACAGGGAGGGCCCAGGCTCCATGCCGAGGGGGGCGCCATAGACCCGGCCTCGGCTGTAGGGTGAGGTGGGGGTGGGTCCACCAGAGCAGTGCCCACAAGGAGAAGGCAAAGGCAAACCACGGGAGGAATCCCAGGAGGAGGAGCCCAGCAGCCATGTGCTATCTGACCTCGAGACCACCTTCCCCAGTGTGTAAGGAAATCCCGCAGGACATGTCGGTACAGCTGACCAGGGATATTGTGAAGGAAATAACTAAGCCCTAAAGAAGTACTAGCAGAAAATATTACTGTCTGATGCAGTGTGTGGCTGTAAATGGCAACCCTGTTGCCAGAAGAAACATACAGCCATTTTCTGAATATACAGTTTGGTAACAGCAGATGGTGGTGCAACGTGAAAGCCACGTGTCCTGCAGTAACAAAACCCCAGCCATTGCAGTGTCCTGTTCCCATTCACGAGTGATCAAACAGGTTCTTCAGACTTTTAGAAACCAGACTATGGTCATACCTGCTGGGAGGCCTGGGTGTAAACTTTCAGCATTCTTGGGTGTGTTTGATAAGAGTCAGGAAAAAAATCTATGTGCATGTATCTATGTGTGTGTGTGTATGTGTACACACACACACACACACATACACACCCCCATTCATCAAACAGTGAGGTACATGTGCTAGCAACACTATCTTAAAAGCACTAGGGGAGCATGTGACATCCTGCATGAAGAAATCAGCTGCACTGGCTAAAATGGCCTCGACAGGGGCTCTGAAATGGTCCAAAGTGAACCACCAGACTCTGGTCAGGGAAACTCCAGAGCTAGAGACGGCAGGACACACAGAAGGATGACTGATTAAAGGGCACGATGCTTCCGAGCAGAATACGATCAGCCTGAAGACCTGATGCTGTCAAATGACCTACGGAAGGCTGAGCATGCTGAAAGCCAACCTGAGCTCCAGTTCTCACGTCTGTGAAGCATCACAGACTTCCACTTCCTGTTGACGGGAGGCCAGATCAGGAAGCACGGGTTGCTTTGTGTCTCAAGTAGTGCATTTTTGACACTATTCTTGTACAGTTGTCATATCCAAGGTATATGAACTAACATCTGTAGCTGAGTCTACATTTTTATGAGTCACCATTTATTTGCACAAAATCTTCACCATTTGTTAGTACTTTCATACAGAACTGGGCCAACGAAAGGATTAATTTTGTGTAGATATTTAATATAACCCTATAGCTGAATCGAATTGAAAATAAAGTAATTGGGTTTTTTAACTCCTCTGCAGAGGGAAAGCACAAGAGCACACGTTTATTAATATGCAACAAGCACTCTACCTGTTACTGAGTATTTCTTATGGATTAAGATGCAAAAAGGCTTAAATAGATTCTTTTCCCCTGAAATTTGAGTAACTGGTTTGCAAGCTTATAGGAAAAAGACAATGATTTTTAAAGCATTATAACTGTAATTTCTGCATTTTTTAAAAAATTGTGTTTGTACCTAAGGGTTTAATTATTCTGCTACCTGGCTGTCGATTTTCATTATCCCTATGAGAGATGCGTGGCTCATTCTTCTCTCCTCTTGACCTAAAAATTAGTCTTTCCCATGTAAGATCTGGTCTAAGGTTTCAGGGCCGACCCTCAAGACTGTGCTACATTCTCTCAGGCATATAGTAAGCAAGGCGGCAACATAGGAACATAAATGACTCTACTCTGAAAGTTATTTGACATACATAAATTCAACTTTCATCATGTTCAAAAACATAAAATTTTACTATTTTTCAATACTTTAAAAAACGTTGCTAGGTTTGTATTTGAAAGATTCTTTAATTAGCAAGAGTTATGGTTGATTTTATCTAACCTCACCCTTTCCCCAAAAGAAGTCATACATGGGTTCATACCTTACACTCTCCCTTGACATTCATTCATTCATTCATTCAACAAGCAACTTGGGTTAAAAGAAAAATATATCATTCTTATCTACCTAAGAAGTTATCTGTATATCAGTTACCTGGGCACAATGAGTTCAGCAAGGAGCAGCAAAGACCACAATATTCTAAGGGACAGCAGGTACACACGGGAGATGGAGGCAGGGAATAGTTGGTGTTTTAAATGATCATAGTGCCACTTGCTACCCTTTATAATGCCACATCAGGCAGGCATCTCTTCCGTTCTGCAAGCATGCACCATAAAATTATCTTCACACCACACAGAACATCTGTAATTGAACAGTCAAGTTCCACAGTAGTAAATCCCAGAGTACCTTTGGGTTCACACTGCATTAATTTTAAATAATCTCAGCATTCTAATCCAAGGAGAGAATTTATAAAAAATTAATGGTTTTCTACTGTATCCTAACAAACCTTAGAATGTTTAATGCCTCGAAAGGATGGAGAAAGAAACAAATTTTAGGCTAGGTCATATACGTGTGTGTCCCCAGTTTTTAAAACAAATGTCAGATGCCAAATGTCTCATCCCTTTCCCCTCACTTTGATGCTATAGACTGAGGAAAAGCAAATGAATGAATCAGTTAGCATTTCATTACCATTTAGATAGGTGCACAGACATTATTTCAACTACAGCTGGTACTTAAACACTCAGCTAAAAAACCCCCTGACGATGTACAGTTAGGAGACAGGTTTCTAAACTCCAACAGTGAACAGTTAAGGCATTCAAAAAGGACTCTAATGCACATTCCATGAAGCTTTATCATATCTTTATCAGGTAAGAACTTACTTTCAATCATTTTCACCTTTTCACCTCCTCACTCACTCTCAAATCCCTGGCCACAAGTTCTCTGTTCTCCCCATAAACTCATATAACCTGGATTTACCAAGGAGAAATACCTTTCAATAACGAATGCAAGAAATGTGATCTTTCTGGGCTCTTTTAAGGAAAAACCATAAGTCACTGTCTTTGCTCCCCTTAATCTGAGGCTCTGTGAAGTTGTGGGAGAGTTCCAGTCAGCCATATGTTGTCTTCTTATAAGATTCTGGAGTTCAAAAGAAAATGAGAGTTCCTATCTTTTAGAGATATTACTGAAACATTTACGGATAATGGTAAGATGTCTGGGATTTGCTTTAAAACAATACGCGAGAGAATACAAATGAAAGAAAACTCATCACAATTTGATAAGAATTGAACCTGGGTGATGAATACATGGGAGTTAATTCTATATTTATGCTTTTAATTTTAGAAAATACCATGTTCTAAAAGGGGAGGCATTCAGAGCCCCCACCTGAACCCTGAATCTTAGCCAGCATGTTCAACTTCCTCCTCACCCACCAACTGAATGCATGTACAATGGACAATGAGCAA